ACAATGGCGGGTGGTTATGGAATAGCGGTGGTCTTTTCTGACAGGGTTGTGAGCTTAGAGGAGGGAGGTGCAGAATGTTGAGGTTCGACGGTTGAGGCTGTGGGACAAAGGGAGGAAATATTCCTTGGGACATATATGGCGGGAAAGGGTGATGATTGTGGGTTTGTTCGGGGTTAAGTAAGTCGTGCTGGAGCAAAGCGTTGATCCGGGCTTGGTTTTGTGCGGTCAGCCGGTTGATGCTATTGGTGAGTTCTGCAAAATATGGCGGTGGGTTATTTGGGTTAGAGAACTTGGCTTCCAGGTTACCAACATTGTGTTGTGAAGCCATGGACTTGGTCATGACCATCCACCCTGACGTAGGAAGTGGGTGTTAACGGGGTTCCCGGCGACAATGAACACAACTGTCGACCAGAGGAGATTTCCCACAGACAGCGCCAACTGATAATGCAATAACTTCAATGGTGGATGGGTCAGACTGATTCACGCCTCCAATAGATCTGATGGCCTTTGTGTCCTCAAAGCCTGCCTGCGAAAAGGTCCAAAGGGAGAGATAATCCCCTGATGGACACTCCGACGATCAAGTTAGGTTATAGCAAATTGACTTGAGAGAGAGAGAGAGAAGCAAGGGGATAGAAAACTTAACCTTAATGTATCTCGAAACTTCCTTATATCTTTTACTCATCATTTTTTTGTCCCTTCCAAGCTGTTTTGTTGGCAGAAAGTTTATAGCCTAGTTGACATCGTTCATGGTGAGTCTGCTTTTTCCGGTGTGATAGGATTGCTGCATTTAATGCTACGAGGGCCTCATTAAATGGCTGATGTGTGGGTACAATAACTTTACAAAATCTTTGTTTGCTTACGTGGTTAGGCCTCTGCCTGACAAGTATTTGAATGCTATTGGTCTTGGCCAGCATTGATTTCTTAGTTACTGGGTTTAATATCTGGACTGCGAGCTGGGCCTGATCCGTGGACTGGGCCCTCTTGGGTGCCCATTAGTGTCTTATTGAGTATTGCTTATTCCCTCCTAACTTGGTCATTATCAGATAAACTTCTTGTACGTTGTCTTCATAAATGGAGGCAACATTGAACTACAGGATTGTTTTCAATAGAAAATAAACTGAAAATATGCCAATTGGAAACTTTAGGTAATACTTGGGATGGTAATTCTGAGAAGATGTTTGCCTGGTTGGAGATTCAGAATTTTCTTAAAACCTTATTTTTAAGGTAAACAGGATTGAGTTATGAATGTTTGATTGCAACAGAAGAGTTTTGGTTGTGTGGACTGCTGCATTTCATTGGTTAGGAAGTCTTTTGAAGGTTTTCATCATCTGTATTTTGCTGCTCTATAATTTCTGACTCTTTTTGTCCTCCTTAATGTTCATGAGTTAGGAAGCTGTAACGAGGCCTTCCATCTTTAGATTCTGTAGTTTATTCTCAGCAAAGCAGAGGATTGCATGGAGCACCTAGGTGATGAAGCAGAAGCAAATGATGAAAATAATATGACTACAGGAATACAATTCTTATTCAGCGGGGAGTCAAATAATTTGAATTGAGTGAACATAGATATTGGTTCTTTTGTGGTGTGAACCTAGAATATTAAAGGTTACTTGAACCAAATTCTTGACTTGTGGTTTCAAGTAATAGATACTTTATTTGAATAGGTGATTTAAGAAAAAATTTTGTTTGTTGGTACTTCAGTTTTGTCTAGTAACATAGAGAAGCAACAAATCTTGCAATTTTTTGGATAGTTGAAATCAGATTAAAAGATGCTTGAGGTTCTGAAATTCTTAGTAATCCTGAAAAATGATATGAAAATAATGGGTGCTTTTAAACTTTTATTGTTAGGTTCTCAAAAATACAAAAAACAAAAATGAAAAATGAAAGCATAGAAAACAAGGCTTGGCCCTTGTTCCATCTCCCCTAGCCAACAGTTCTTCCCGGCTTGGAGCTTGAACATTCAGGTTTGGATTGGCAACAATATAAGAGAGAAGTTTGGCAGTTACTCTTTTTTTTTGATCGGCAGTTTGGCAGTTACTGTTACAACTGTGATTTCTTACAATTGTGATTTCTGTAACACCATTATAGCAGTAATGAATTGAGATCCTCGCATTGGGTTCTCTCCTTGCCTCCCTATTTGTAACAGTGGAGATGCACTTTAAATTGATCCAACGGTCTAGATTTGAGTAAAAAAAGTAAATTTGAATTTGTTTTATTATTTTTTTATTTGTAAAAAGCTAAATCTAAACCGTTAGATCAACTCAAAGTGCATCTCCACCGTTGCAAGGAAGGAGGCAAGGAGAGAGCTCAAGGAGAGGATCTCAACTAAATAATAGGTAACTAACTATGTTTAAAATTTTGGAGAAACTTTGTGTGGCCAAAAATAGAGATCCTTCTGTTCCACTGGAAGACATTGCTAGCCAAGCCTTTGATTGACAAGGAATAAAGCAGCTTGGACATCTCAAGTATATATCCATTGGTATCACATTTCAGTCCTCTTATAAGAACAATTCCTACTTATTAGTTGATTCCCAATCTCACCACTCAATGACAGAGATATATTGCAACTTGTCACGTGAGCTGTATTTCATCCCAGTCACAAAATTCGTATTATGATTATACAATAAAGTACTCAACACAGAAGCATTAATCCCAATTGAGCCATGTTTGGTTGGTTATGTACTTCCATTTTCTCTGATCAGTTTATTCAAAGGTTTATTCTGAATTAAATTTAAGGCAATCAAGTCAATTTTTACTGCTGCTACCAAAGGCATTTCTCACACAATTCTTCACAAAAAAATTTTTAAAAAGAAAAAAATCAATTTCCTCACATGGGTGTGATATTGGACTTTTGCCATCTGATAACATATTTTTCACTCAGTTTTTTTATTTATTTATAAGAATTGGAAATATGCAAATATTGTGAAAAAATGCTAATCTAGCAACCGATAAGATTAATTTTAATGGCTTTTAAATTTTCCCTTGTAAAATTTTTGATGACTGCAAAAGTTTCATTAACTTGTACAATAATACAAAGTTGACCTCATGTGGATGGATTAAAGAAAGGGGGAAGGTGGTCAATAAAAATAAATATATTTTAATTAATCAAAGGTTCACTTGATGACCCACCACACATATTGTAAATATCTGACAAAGCAAAAAAAAAAAACACATATGTAATATGTAATTATGAATAATTCATAGAAACTAATAAGAAATAGAAATTGCTACCATTGCCTTCATCCACTTTTATAGAAGAGAGATATACAAAGAGGAGATTCTATATAAACATCTCATATTAATATGTATTTTTAATTATATTATTTGTTTCATTAATTATAATTAATTTTTTTTTATTATTTTTTATGACGTTATTTTGAAATATTTGGTTATGATTTTTTTGTGTTTAATTATTTTTTTTTAAAAAAATATTTAATTTAACTCAAAATATAAAATTATATCATTTTTTTTTTGTAGTTATAAAACACATATGTACCATAATCTATATTTTTACTCACATATAAAATAGATTTTATTTTTAGAGTGGTCATATAAAATAGTTGGCTTTTGGCTTTTTACCAAGCTTTTTGGCTTTTTTAGAAGTGATTTGGGAAGACTTTTTGTTTTTTAGTTTAATATTTATTTATGGTGTCAAATCAAACTAAAATGACCAAAATACTCTTACCCAACATAAGAGAGTTATTTTTTTATTTATTTTTCATAGGCCCTAATTTGTAATTTTAGGGCTGCGTTTTTAGCACTTGCCAAATGACTTTTTTGAGTTTTTGGCAGCCACGTTTTTAGACATTTTATCCAAAACGTGACTTTTTACCATATTTTCAAAATGGCACTTACGGTAGTAGGGCACATTTTAAATATTAATTGTTTTAAAACTTTCAATAATATTTATTTAGTTTTGCAACGGTCGAATTCCATCCGCTGATACCAAGAAATTGAAATAGCTCGGC